TGTGTGTGTGTGTGTGTGTGTGTGTGTGTGTGTGTGTGTGTGTGTGTGTGTTTTTTTTTATATTCGTTTATTAACAGTTTTTAAATTACAAGGTGCAAGTTGCGTGGTGGCTAGGATACATGTAAAGATTTGTTATACTTATACTATACTCACTATGATTTTAAGTTTAATAAATTTCAAATATTTACATTTGGAAGAGGAAATCCATCCAAGTGCCAAGCAATTTTAGGCGTCGGGTTACCACTTGCACTGCATTTAAGCGAAACAGAAGGTCCAGGCTGCATAGTTTGCTCTATAAACTTATAAAGTAACTGAGGTGCCACCTCTGCAAACAAAATTACATAATTACAACATATACCGTTGAAAGTATTATGCTATTTATTTCATAATTCATATATAAGAAAATTGGAATGAATGCGTCGAAGAAACAGACATTGTATTTTGACATTATTTTACAATATTATGAAATTTCTTTCATAAATCATAAATAAGAAAGATAAAATAACTGTATAGAAGAAAAACATATTTTATTTTCTAAAGCGCCATGAAAAATCAAACCCACTGACATAGCTCACGAATAACTAATAACCGTTTATTCTTTATGCTCTTTATGCGAAATCAATGGAAAATAAAAGCATATTCAGTGACTTGTTTGTCTGACGCTCCGTTGACGAACATAATTTAAGAAGAGATACGACTTTCGTTAGTAGAATGAGACTCAGGACGTTGGCGAATGGCTATAAAACTCTATACAAATATAATATAATTTTATATATATATATAATTTTTTATGTGTGGTGGTTTTATCTGATTATTCATGAAAGGGCACCATATAAGAATCGTCCACCTCGGTCACACACATCATGATTTTAAGATCCGTTTGCTTTATGGCAAATATTTTTTGTAGCAAATACCTAAAGTACAAATTTGTACTAGTACTGGTACTAGTACTTCGTTTGTAAAATAAGAACGTACCTCCCAATCTTAGCTCGGCAGAACATTGACTTGACTCTAGATCGTTCTTTATAATACATTGATACATTCCCTTATCTTCTTTGACGATAGATGTAATGCGTATATGTTCCGTTGACAGATGACGAACCCGAGCCCCAGAACGTAGTGTTTTGCCATCCTTAAACCACAAAACTTGTTGTTTTGGAAATCCAGATGTACTGCAAATCTATAATGTTAACAGCCATATTTTTTGTTAAATTGGAACTCAAAATATACCACGAATAAGTCACTTTACTCACTAAATCAGCCGTTTGTCCAAGATTTACAGTTTGTACTCGAGGCTGTACGATTGCACTTAAAGGCGATGATACAGACAATTTGACTTCTAAGGTTTCACTACCCTCTGAGTTAGTAACTGTACAATAGAATATCCCATCGTCGGATCTTGTGATGGCCGATATAATAAGAGTTCCGTCTTTGATTTTGGCACGCCCATTCGCGATCATATGTTGCATAGACTCTTCATTGCTTGAACGTGTAATATGCCACCTAAAATAAAAATAATTTATTTTTTTATGCTATTAATATGATATACAAGTATGAAAGCTCAAGTCGAGACTGCTCGACTACGAGATCCCCTGAACCCTTCGAGCAACTGATATTT